CTTAATAATTGTAATTTGATATCATTTAGACTTTGTTTTATTTTATTTATTTTATTTCTCTTTGTTTTGTCTCAGCATATATGTGTGTATTTACATATATATTCATATTTGTACATGTAAATGCAAATATGTGTATTTCTATATATTGTTTTTTTCTGTATATGTCTGAAATAAAGATACAATACAATACTAATACATTATTACCAGTTTGCTCCTTGTGCAGGTCCATGGACAGGTGCTTTTCCAGTGTCTGATGATGAACTGCCTCTATGTGGTTAAGAGACTAAAATAATGTTGTACATGTTTCTTATCTGTCACAAATAGTTCTTTAACTTCTTTAACGACTGAGCCTTTGCTTTGGATTTGATAACTAAAGTCTCCATCCTAAAATAGATGGATTAGATTGAAATCTCTGATTATTCACTCTGAGTTATTCTTCGACACTACAATAGATCATCCAACTAATTAGGTTGCTTTTGAAAGTAACATTGTAATATTTATCCAATTGAATTGTGGTTTGCAAATATAGAAAGAGTTGATGACATTTGCAGGCAGCATGTTCAATTAATATTAATTACAAGGCATGCATGCATTACATCATGACTGGGAGCTGAGCCTCCTCTAAAGGTTTGAACCTAGAATCGCCCCAGAACTCACACATAAGATTTAGACAGATATTAGATTTGTGGTGGATAGAGTCATTTTTGTCTGTGTAATGTGCCTTCCAGTGAACACTTTTTTTTAAGATTAAGTTCTCAGTCTAAAAGCAAGATTTGTGTTTTGAATGATTTAAATTAGTAAAGCTTATATAAATTAAATAAATATTCCCAACCTCAGAAAAAATTCTTTTCTGCACATTCAAAACATGTGGCACATTTAGGAATAGCTAGCAAGCTAATAAATAACTGGTTTTTCAGACATTTTTAGAAAAATTGGGATGAGTGGAACATGATGGAGTTTATGTGGATCAGATTTTTCTAATAACCATTCTGAGCTTCAGAGTTCTTGCTTCTGGCAAATACGTCTGTATGTGTGTGCACGGCGGCAAGTGTGCATTGTGAGGACATGGCTGGTTTTTGCACCTTCTAGCTCACACACCTGGTGTGTTGTGACACACCTGGTCACAATCATGCAACTTCTTCTGACGATCCTGTGCAGGCAGCTTCATAAGAAAGTAGCAGAAGATCAGATATCACCGAGTGAAACACTTAGCAAAGCCTGGCTTCTATTCTTGTTGCTCTGAAAACTGTTTGCTAAGAAATTCTTACCTGTGACCAGGTTTGTGTGGAGATTGCCTGACACGGAGTAGTGAGGTGATTCTAGTTTGGATTTGGGAATGTGTGGATTCTGTCTGAATTTTGTGGAAGCCTCAAGGAGAGTGGACTGGTAGTGTGTGTTGACCCTTTTGACCTGTGTTCATCATCCACCATGTTAGCACCGTTGCCTCACAGCAAGAAGGTCCTGAGTTCTGTTCCACCATCAGTCCGGGGTCTTTCTGTGAGGAGTTTGCATGTTCTCCCCATGATGGCGTGGGTTCGCTC